CTAGTTCCAATGCTGTTGATTCAGAACCACTGAATATATAAGGAATAACCAATGGCTTAGCTTCATGTGGATTGGGTTGTGTTATTTGTCCTCTGCTACACCTGCTTTGTGGGATAGCTGCTTCAGCTGAAAATCAGAAATGCCATTTCTTTCACTCTGGCAGCTCAGAAGATGTGCCCTGTGATCCAGCCTTCTTGTGTTGGTCGTAACACCATGTGTCAGGCAAAGGTTTGTGTTCAGGGTGAGTCCCTACCAATGAGATGTTTTCATCTTTGCTCACAGCAGGGGGATCAAACAGAAGAATGGGATGCAGAGTTGAAGGAAAAAAAAAGGTTCTGGGAATTTATTATTTTTGTGGGATTTTTTTCTTTTTCTCACAGGGAGAATAAAAAAGACAAGGCAGCCCTCTTGGCAAACAGTTATATTAAGTGCAGTTTGTAAGAATCACGTATGAAAAGAAGTTGAAAGGATTTTGATTGTTCATATAGAAAGACGACGAAGGAGAGATAATGTGTAAAAGAATTAAAAAGGAGGAAGATGTTTCAGAAGGTAGCTTGTGAAATTTACATTGCCTGCTTCTAATGACAGAACAAGGGACCAGTCACACTGTTACAGAGCAGAAGATGGATACGCAAAATGTAATTTTTCTTCTCCATATGATCAACCAAGCGACTCACTACCACTAGAAACATTTAAGACAACATTCAAATTAGAGTCATTCACTCCTATAGATACAAACAACGGCATTAATTGTAACAACAGCGCGCAGAAGCGATAACGCTGAGCTTAAATTCCCTCAATACTTATCAGAAGAAAATTAACGCGGGGATTAAGCTGCGTATTGAGGGCTTCTTACCTCTGTGTCAGCGACGTTTCATGTTGGCTCCTTCCAGACAGAGCTCGGGACCACGGCGGCGATGCAGGGTCACGGTTTGTGCTATGGCTGCTGCACAGACAGCACTACATCGATGGATTTCACTTTCGCTTCCCTGGTAATTTTGTTAAACACTTGCCAGTGACTGCGATTTGATTCTGTTCAAGAGTTATTCTTTTGAAGTGTTTTTCTTTTCTCTAAAGAAATAAAATACTCTGAAGTTAATCAGGGACCTTGTGTGCTTTTTTACATGTCACCAGGTCATGTATCTCGGGCTGATGACAGGGTTGCAAATGGAGACAAAGTGGCCAGGGGCTGCACTAATCCCTGGCATGAGGGAAGTGGAGGAGCAGCAAATAAAGCAGGGCCCATGTTAAGTGGGTGGACAAATGCTTTTGAAAAACCCCTCTAAATAGACTAATTCCTCTTTCCCCTACGTGGACCTGGCAAACACTGTCTTGTGTTCACCCTGGAGCTGATCCGGGGAGTTGTACCCTCCTGAGAGCCACAGGAGCTAACACTGTGTGATACACCTCAGATTCAGCAGAACCAGCTGTGATAACCCCAGCAGCCCTTTCTTTTATTGTTGCTTCATCACCCTAAGTAAGTGCAGCTGCTGCTGAAGTTTGCTGAGGTCTGCCTGCCACAGAAATTCTTCCCCTATTTCCTTCAAAAATCACACTGGAGATAGGTCTATATCCTGTTTACGTGCTTTACTGCTAAATATTCCTCTGTTTAAGCTCAGGTGCAGCAGGGACGGGCACAAACAATGATTCCACATGAGATGCAGCATAACGCTTTTAGCAGCAGGTACTTCCAGGAGGGAGGTTTGTGTTCATTGCTCCAGGAGAAAGAAATTCAACACATCAACAGAAGCAGGCAGCATGCCTGGCTCAGAGCAGTGCTGATGCAGTTGGCAAAGAAAGGAAACGGGGCCATTGTTTGTCAGCAGTTTTGGTTCAGACATACAGTACATACAGATGTGTGTGAGCAAGACTTCTAACTTCTCTGTGCAGCAACACAGCCACAGGTGGCATTCCCTCTCTTTTTACAAAAATCAGGTGAATGTACTCTAGTTTTTTTCCAGCTAGAAAAAAGGGGGGAACCCCATGGATTTGAGGTGTGGGGAGTTTAAATACAAACAAATAATCTCCCTCCCGGGTGGGGTGCAGTGTATGGCATCTACCTCCAGCCCTGGTACAGCCTCTGTAAGAAAGCTGGGGCAGGTGGGGTTTGGAGTCAAGAAAGAAATAAAAATGTACTAGGGAAAAAGAACTTCTCCAAGTATTTCTTTTACTTGAATGCTTTGACAAGACTCCGTTGCAGCTAAGGGCACATCCTTATTCAGAAATATTTGTAAACAATTAATAATCAAAAATATTTACTTTTCATGTGTACACTGAGGAGGGCTGCAAACCTGCAAAATAAGGATTGCAGCCACGATGTTGGTGTGGACTACTGAGCTTGACAGTGGCTCAAATGGAGGAGCAGAGAGCTTTCACTGAACATGGTTCCAGCCCTCGGACTGGGGAGGAAAAGGGGCCTCACAGAACCGTATGAGGAGGCAGAAACCCCCAGCTGAAAAACATAAGGTAGTGGAGAAATCCCTGCTTGGGCTGAAGGCACACAGGCAGCCCTGGCAAGGCACACTGCTGCTCATGTTCCCGTGTGACTGTGGATTTCAGTGAGGAATCGGCCCCCAACAAAGCAGACAGTTCCCTGTGATATGAGGTGAACACATCACACCGATTTGGGGACCCAGGGATGGTGTTCGCCTCCCTGGCAAAGGCAGCCAGGGCTGGGCTCCACTGTCTGCATGGGGCTGTGGTGGTGCTGCACCAACAACATGGGTGAGGCAGAGCCCAAACACCAGCATCTCCCACAGGCAGCTCTACTTTGCCACACTCCATTCTTATCTTTCTAACGCTGCTTCCCCTTGCACTTTTTCAACCTTGACCAGTAGTTACAGTGTTGCTTCTTCAAAAGATGCCTGCGAATCCCTCCTTTGCCCACATTGCCTTTCCTCAGATTATTAAAAAAAAAAAAAAAAAAAAAAAAAGACACAAAAATAATAATAATATTAAAAAATAACCACCATGGCCACCACATCATTCCCTCTTCATCCCATCCGGGGCAGGCCCCAGAGCATCTCAGCAGTGCACTGCCGGTGGGACACAGGGAGAGGCAAATTGATGCCCTACAGCAGCCCTGGGGGAGCCGAGAGCTGGGGGGTCTTTGAGAAACGTGGGTGCTGCCTGCCGCCACTGCCCCGCACTGCTCTCAGCGCTGAGCTGCCAAGCGGGATGGAAGCACCAGCTGCTAAGAAAACCCTTCTAAATAACCATCATTCCGCACGCATGTAGACGTGCCTGTGTGCGCGTATGTATTTCTATGCACTTAAATAGAGAGAAATACACTCGCAGCGTGCCCAGGCCCAGCACCGTGGGGCAGGAGCCGCCCGTGGGCAGGGAACACCGGGAGGAGCGGGGCCGGAGCGGGGCCGGGGCCGCCGGGCGCTGCGGGTGGAGAGCGATGTCCCCATCCGGCCCGGCTGCTCGCGGCTCCCGCATCCGCTTCAAAGAAAAGAAATTAAAAATAAATCAGTAAAATATATATATATATATATATATACACAAAATTAGGGGAGTTCTGTAGGTATAGGATTGTTTGTTTGTTTGTTTGTTTTTCTTGTGGCAGCGCGAGTGTCCGATCGAGGCAGTTCGGGTGCTACGAATATAAGACGAAAATACACCTAATTCCGTCGTCATATAGATATAATATATTTCACTCTCACCACATAAATACAAAACATCCAAATATCCAAAACATTCAGAACAAAAGTTAGTAGCAAGGGCTCAGCGCTCGGTTCGTTCCGTATTTCCCGACTAGTTGCCTAGAGACTTTTGACGTCAATAATTTACAATAAAATTACTATTTCCTTTCTGTCCAGCTCCTTCTGTCCACTTCTGGTCTATTATTAATTCTATGCACTACAGAAACCGTTCCACTCGTTGTCAGTCTGGTTTTTTTTGTTGGTTTTTTTTTTTTTTTTTTTTTTTTTGGTTACAGTTTGGTGGCACGCATTTATACAGTTTGTAAACGTCATGTGTTAAAGTTTAGAGAAAGAAACTTCAAACCAAAGCGAAGAAATATTATTAATATTAATATTAATATTATCCCAAAGAATTAAGTAAATACAGAATCCCTTTTCTGGCAAATTCAAGTACTGAAATCGAACGGGAGATCGATGCGGGATGTGGCCGGTGTGATACACGCGGTGGTGGAGAAAACAGCAGCGGGAAGCGGAGGGGATAAGGCCGCCACAGAGATGTATCTTGAAGTACAAAAATAACAACAAAAGATGCGCTTTGTATATTTTACGTTCGTTTTAATTGAAGTGTGAGCGATAACCGAGAGGGTTATTTAGGAGGAAGACCGCTGACGGCTTTGTGATGCGCTCTGCAGTTGTGTGGGAAAAGAAAAAAAAAAAATCAAACAGAAGGAAAAAAAAATAAAATAAAATCGACCATCGCAACGGATCTGGGTGCAAATCGAGTCGCGATTCCGTTCTCTCTCTGCGGACTCGTTTAGCAGAGCGGGGCGGAAGGCAAAAAGGGTGTTGCTGCAACCCGCGGGCTGAGCGCGGCTCGGGCACGGCGCGGTGCTGCATCCCGCAAGGCTCAAAGCGCTACGGGGATCGACCGTGGAACGGAACGGCCGCCGGGAAGTGCCCGGCTGCGGCCAGGGCCGGGCAGCGGTGCCGTGAGGGGGTGTGTAAAGCCAAACCTTTGTGCTTAAGTCACTGAAGTCCGGGGGGAAAAAAAAAAGAAAGAAAACCAAAACAAAACAACCCGGGCATCACCTGGCAGCTCCTCTCCCCGAATCCTCTCCGGGCATCGAGCACCCTGTGCGCTCTCCCTTTCCTACCGAAGCTGACGAACGCACGGACAGACGGCCCCGGGTGGACAGACGGACGGACGGACGCTCCCGGCCCGGCGGGGGCTGCAGGGTCCCCGCTCCGCCCCGGCCCTCTGAAGGAGCCTCACAGAGAGGGACGGAGGGAGGGGGGCATAAATATCGCCACAAATAGATACTATAAATATAAATACGGGGAAGTTACTTCGAGTCAGTCCAGTGCTTTTTTCTCAGCGCTTTCTTTATTGTTGGTCCGGGAGTAGGGCTCGAAGGCGGACGAGCTCAGGTAGCGGGCCGACAGTTCCTGCAAGTTGCCCGCCAGCGAGCCCGCTACGGCCAGCGGCGCGGAGGAGAGCCGCCCCGCCACCGAGCCCAGCAGCGTGGGCACCGGCAGCCCGAAGAGCCCGTGCCCGGCGGCGGCGGCGGCCGCTCCGTGCAGCGCTGCCGGAGGGGGCGGCCCCGCCGCGGTGCCGGCGCTCGGGGGGTGCGGGGATCCCCCGGCCGGAGCCGCCGCCGCCGCCGCCGCCGCCGTGCCGCTGCCCGCAGCCAGGCCGGGGCCGCGCAACGCCGAGCCCAGCGCTCCGCTGGCACAGGGCGGCAGGAGGCCGGGCAGCCCCGGCGGGGAGAGCAGGCGGCCCTGCTCCAGCAGCCGCAGGACGCTGCAGGTGGCGGCCGTTTCGGATACAACCGAACGCAGCTCCGAGTCTTTGCCCTGGTCCTTTTTCTGCTTGGTGCGCCGGTTCTGGAACCACACCTTTACCTGCGGGCCGGGGAGAGAGGGCAGGGTCAGGTGCGGGGGCAGCAGAGGTGCCCCGATCCCCCCACGGCCTTCCGCTGGGTTAGGGCAGGCCGGGAGCTTCCTGCCAGCGGATCCGGCCCTTTCCCTTCCGCCGCGGCCCCGCACGGCTCCATACAGCCCCGCACAGCTTCGCGCAGCCCCGCACGCCCCGTTCGGGCCGTGTCTATCCCAGGTGCTCCCGCACCGCCGGGCCCGCACGGGCTCTCTCTCCTGCTTCCCTCGTCTCTTTAAACCGGCTTTAGAGAGGAAACCTGCGCCCATACGAAAAAAAAAAAAAAAAGCGGGCGGGGCCGCGGCGGAAGGCCAAATAAAAAAAGCATGGCGGTCTCTGTAACCTACCACTATTGAACTTGTCACCGCTATCCGGCAGGGGAAAGAAAAAAAGCCAATTAGCTTGTCAGGGGGATTTATTGCTGGATGATGTTTTGCAGAAATATGAAGGCGGCTGCGGGGCCGGGGCCGCTCCCTGCGCAGTGCCATCTCTCCCGGCGGGCCGTGCCTCCCCTCGGACGCACGACGGGCTCTCAGAGCCGGCCGCAGCGCAGCGCAGCCCGGCAGCAGCTCTCGGAGCTGTCCGCAGCGCTCACAGCCGGCTCAGGGCCTCCGACTCCCCTCGCAGCTCCGCGATTCCCCCTCCGCGTCCTCGCGGCGCGTGGGCACCTCGGGCCCGGCCTCTATTCAACCCTTCCCCAACCCTCCGTTCCAGAGGCCTGCGCGGGGCGCGCAAAATGCGCGCAGAGCCGCGGAGCCGCCGGAATACGGGAGACGCGGCATTTCGCAGCCCGAGCAGGGCCGGTCCCGGTGGTACCTGAGTCTCGGAGAGGTTCAGTTGCCGGGCCAGCTCGGTGCGCTCCCGCCCCACCACGTACTGGCACCGCTGGAACTCCATCTCTAGGCGGTAGAGCTGCTCGGCTGTGAAGGAGGTGCGGGTCCGCTTGGGACGGTCCAAATCGAGGCCTTTGGGTAGGATGATCTCTCGGATGGAACCTTTGGCATCTGGCAAAGCAAGGCGCAGTCAGCTTTACACACAGGCAACCCCCTTCCGTTTTTCTTTTTTTCTTTTATTTTTTTCCTCTTTTTCTTTTTTCCTTTTTCCTTTATTTTTTTCATTCTTTATTTCTTCCTTTCTATTTCCTTCTTCTTTTTTTCTTTTTAGATCCTTTTCCTTTTTTTTTTTTTTTTTTTTTTATTTTTTTTTTTATTTTTCTTTTTTTTTTCTTATTTTTTTTTTCTTCCTTCATTATTTTTTTTTTTCCTTTTCTCTTCCTAAGGAATATAAGAAGAGAATCTACTCCCCTCTTTCAAGACAGAGATCCCAGTCAGGTTTGGGGTATTGGCCCTGATATTGTGGGGCTGCACCCAAGGAAGGGAACAAGAAACAACAAACCCGAGAGAGCAGGAAGGAGGGAGCAACGGGGCAATAATCCACCCTCTCTGAACCCATCTCGAATCGGCCCCGAGAGGTCGGGATGCTCCGGGCCGGGCTCTGTGGCCGCGGGCTTGAGCAGCCCTTTGTTCCCCGGGGCTGTGGGTGTGCTGGGTGCCCCCAACCCTAAAATATAAAACCATATTTTTAGACTTTTTTTTTTTATTTCATTTTTGTTTCTTTAAACAAGTTTTTCACACGATAAAAGCGTTTTGCGGGCCGCTTGCCCACTTCCAGGATTGGGACACCAGGGCTCAGCATCATGGGGGATTCTTTTGGCAAACAGGAGAGCAACGAGGGTAGCAATAACCCTGTAGAAGGCTCCCAGCGGCCCCGAACCCTTTTCTGTAGCACGGAGCGAAGGAAAGGGACAGACCTAATTGGCACCACCGCCAGGGTAGATCCATCCTCGCTCCCTGAATCCCTCCCAACTGTGCTGCCCGCAAATTTACCTCCCCGCTAAAATGAAATCAGAGGGAAGCACCAGCCGTAATCTGCCCCTCTCTGGGTCAATCGGTCGCGCGAGGATTAAGGACTGTTCCAAGGCCCCACGTTCCGCCTTGCACTCCCTCCTCCCCCCATATCGCACCTTGAGAAAACCACCGTTCCTTCGCGGACATATCTATATATTTTTGTCTTTCTTTCTTTCTTTCTTTCTTTTCTTTTTTCTTTTCCTCTGGAAGGAGGTGAGAGCAGAACGGTTTCGTTCGTTTCAGCCCAGAGAGAAAGGAAAGAAACAAACCGCCCGAGTGTAAAAAACACACAAAGCCCTTCGTCATCTCGTCATTGACTTCGGGCCGGGTGGCTGCACCCACACCCCCGTTCCGGGGAGGCTGAGCGCGGACCCACGGGGACGGCCCCGCACCCTGCTCGGTCCCCGCGGGGCGCGGAAGAAGCGCTGCGGGCCGCGGCCGGGCGGATCCCGCGGGCGGCGGCGGAGCGAAGCGGGGAACTCCGCCGCGATGCACCGCGTCTCTCCGGGGCTCCTTCGCCGGAACGGGGCAGCGCCGCACCCCCGGGGGCTGTGCCCGGACCGAACCCAGAGCAGAGCGAAGAGATGTGGCAGAAATACGGCGGCGTAAGCGCGGAGCACCTTCCCCACCCCGCGGAGCACCCCGGGCTCGTACCTCTGACCAAGATCCTCCTGCAGTAGTCCGGATCCGCCGAACCAGATTTAGTTTTATTACAGTCTTCGGTAGCTGCGGAGGCAGAAAAAGTCCCTTGTTGCTCCTTCAGAAAAGAAGTAGAGATATTTCCTTCAGCCCCTTTGCTGTCCTTGCCCTCCTTGTGTCCGTTCTTCGAGACCCGACTGGCTTCAGTCTCTGTGCTGCATCTAACGTCCATTTTGTCTTGTTTCCCAAACATGTAGTGCAATAAAAAGAAAACAAAAGAAAACAAAAGAAAACAAAAAGGAAAAATAGAAAAAAAATAATAATAATGAAGAGAGAGAGTGGCGGCGGTAGAAGAAGGCGAAGTCTCCGCTGGATATTGCACGGCTCAGGGTCACACCGGTGGGATCCGCACAGCACCTCGATGAGGGAAGGTCGGGGTCGATCCCACTGGCGAAGCTGCGGTTCCGTCGCTCCCCGCGTCCCGCTGCGCTCCGCGCGCAGGTACCGCGCTCCGGATCCGCGCTGCTGTGTCCGCCTTATCACGGAGCCACGCGGCTGCTGGGCGCCGGGGGACGCGCACTCGCTGCTTCAATTGATTACGGGTAATTTTGCAGCCTCCACATTTAGGTTACCTCATGAATACACTAAATTGTTTGGATAATATATCAGATCGTAATGGATGGTTTGTGTGCTTGTCCCCAATCAAGCGGAGTTTAGCCAGTGAATAAACCGAAATGATTGGTCTTGCTTTCAGGAAACACACAATCAAAAGACTGAGACTTCCCGAAAAAAAAAAAAAAAAAAAAAAGAGAGAGAGAGAGAGAGAGAGAGAGAGAGAGGAAAAAAAAGAAGAGAAAAAAAAAAAACCCAAAACACACACCCCCACCCCCACCAACACCCCCGCCGGGCGGGGGGGACGAAGAAAGAAAAAAAAAAACTTTTGACAAGATTCACCCGGAATTGTTCGCACCATTAGCAGCCATTATTAACTTTCTTCGGTACGCCTTTGACCTCCCGATGATAGAGTGGCTTTCTCCAGAGCACGCCAAATAAATGTGAATAACGCTGCCGGGAAGGGCTGGAAAAATGCAGTTGGAGGGAAGGGAGGGGTAAAAGGGGTGTGTGTGTGTGTATGGGGGGGGGGGGGGGGGAGAAGGGGGTGCGGAAAAAAAAGCCCCCGCGGATCCCACCAGACCCGACGGGTCGCACCGCGTACGCAGCTCCGAAGTTCTCCCGTCGGCGGCTCCGCGGGGTCGGGCCGGGCCCGCTCAGCGCTTCTCCCCGCTGCGCGCTATCCCCGTGCGCTGCGCTGCGCCCCGCGGCTGTGCGCGCTGCGGCCGTGCGTGTGCGTGTGTGTGTGTGTGTGTGTAATTCCGCACCTTCGCAACGCTGAACCTATTCGCAGAGGCTGTGCTCGTTGAGTGGAGGGTAGGGGGGAGAAGGAGGGAAAAAAAAAATAAATAAAAGAGCCAGCTTTGTGTGTGCAGTGGATCCAGCAGGGGGGAGAAGGAAGGAGAGAGGGGGACGGAGGGAGAGCGGAGATAGCCCGTGGAAAATCTCAGCTGCGTGATCCGCTGAAGGGGGAAAAAAGTTTTACTCTAGCGATTTCATTGTCCGGACTACAATATCTCTGAGAACCGCAACAGCCCGTAATCCAATAAGACCATTGATTAGGCGACAATGATTCAATTCAAGCAAATGGCCTTGTGCAAAGAGCATGCTCCAGCCCTTCTTGTCACCTTGCGGGGCAGAAGCCCTCTTCATGCTGCTCTCCTTATTCATTCCTTTATGGGAAACGTAGAACGAAAGGAGTGAAAGATGGCAATTATCTAATTGGACTATTAACAAACAATTCTCCGAGTGTGGCTGTCTGGCAGTGGTTCTCGGCCGAGGTGAAAGGCCACATGTTGCACTGCCCCATTCACAAAGCGTTTGGGGGCCTGAGAGAGAGAGAAAGAATTTTCCCTGAGAATTTTCCACACAAGCGCCGAACACCGGGCGGGCGGCTCCTGTCTCAGCCCCGGACTGCCGACCCCCGACGTGTCACCCACCGACGTGTCACCCACCGACGTGTCACCCCCAGGGCACGTCTCACCCACCGGGAGAACCCCGGCCTCCCGCACGGCCCCGCGGTGTGAGAGCTGCTTTTGGGTCCGGCCCTGGAAGGGACCGTCCGGAGTAATGGTCGGAGGGGGGAAGAAGGGAGGGAGGGGAAGAAGCAGGATGAAGGAGAGGGAGACGCAGGATAAAGAAGGGGGGGGTTGGGGGGAGGAGAGTGAGGGAGGGAAAGGGGGAAAAAAGAAAAAAGAAAAGGAAATGGAAAGAGGAAAGGAAAAAGGAAAGGGGAGAGGAAAGGAGAGGGAAAAAAAAGAGGAAAGAAAGAAAAAAATAAAGAGGGAAAAAGAAAGGGAAAAGTGAAAAAGGGAAAAAAGAAGGAAAAGAAAAAAAGAAAAAAAAACGAAAAAGAAAAAAAAGAAAATGAAAAAGTAATAAAAGGGAAAGATGGAAGAGGAAAGAGGAAAGAAAAGGGAAAGAGAAAGAAGAAGAAGAAGAAAAGAAAAAGGGTAAGAAAAATAGTAGGGAAAAACAGTGGGGAAAAAATAGGGGGGGGGAAGAAGGAAAAAAAGGAAAAAGAGGGGAAACAAAATAAAATGAAAAAAAAGAAAAATAAGCATGGAAAAAAAATAAAAGAGGAGAGGAGAAAAAAAGGAAAAAGGAAAATAGAAAAAAAGAAGGAAAAAAAAGCAAAAAGAGAAAAGAAAGAAAAAAGGAAAACTGAACAAACTGAAAAAAGGAAAAAATAAAAAGGAGAAGAAAGGAAGAAGAAAGCAGGGAAGAGCAAAGAAGGAAAGAAACGGGCAGTTCACAGACACACCTCAGAGAGTTGGTCTCTAGTGGAGATCTTAAATCTTGGTTGTTTTTCCACAGATAACAAAACAATTTATTGTTGTTGTTGCTGTTTGAAAATGCAGCTCGCCATTGAGGAGGTGCCCCCCAAGATTTTGATCAGCCACATTCATGCACGTAAGCAGATGTGCAATGGCCGTGCCACGGACCAGCTTTATTTTTCCTTACAGCAAATGAACCTCAGCAATCTTTGGTGGTCTGTTGTCATTAGTTACTACTTGTATGGCAGTCATACCCAGAGGCCCCAAATAAATCACAGCCCCATTGTGCGAGGCTCCATGCAGATCCAGAGGATGGAGTGAATTCGTTTCCTCCATGAATTTGCAGTGCTGCGTGACGCCTGTCGTGCCGAGGGACACTCATAAAACTGCACATTTGAGAGAGATTTGCCCATCCCAGGAGAGGTGCAACAAGTGGAGCTGACGAGCAGGGCTTTCTCACGTGGCCACAGTAGAGATTTGTGTTTAGCACGTAGCAGCTTTGCTGCGTGAAGCGCATAAATACAGATATAGCATATGCATGCATAGGCAAAGCAGTCAGTGTTGGATACATGTATTCAATGCTGAATAAAACAAAGTTCTCTTTTTACAAGCACTTTTTACATCAGAAATAATTGTTAAGGCAGAATGGGCATAATGATTCATGCGGAAGGTCTGCAAAATGCAGAGAGCGATTCTGTTTGTTTAGATGTGTGGGAGCACGCCTGCCATTTCACCCCTTGGTTTTCCTTATGCTAATGTGGAGATAAAAGTCATATAATAAAAATGGAGCGGCTGAACTCAGTTACTCTAAAGCAGAATATCTGCAGAATTAATACTGTATTTACGTGATACTCTTTTTTTTTAATTCACAAGGATGGCCTGATCCAAAACCCAGTGAAGACCAGGCAAACTTTGTTCTGTACATGCAGTATCTTAACTGTGAAACCCCTTCCTGTCCACAGGCATCGGTTCTGTAAGAACTTTCCCACCAAATGAGTTAAATTTGTTCTCACACATTACAAACAGCACAAGCACAAGCAGGAAATCCACATTATGACCATCTCTAAAGTCAGCAGCTTCTGTAGTGTAACAGCCACTACAACAACACCGTTCCCCTATTTTTGTCCATTTTTTCCCCTAGTCGACTTACATACAACACTCCTGCATATTATGTTCTTTCACGCCCTGGAATGAGCTTCCCTGCTTTCTCTTCTTGCTGCCATAGCTCCAGGGATCTCCTCAGCATCAGCACACTTACCCACGCACCACTGGATAAGCAGATTAGGGGTTACCTCTCTTCCTCTTAAATATTGCTTAAAAATGCCTTGGCACACTGCATGTGTACTCCCTTGCTGTACTTTGCTACACAGACTACTGCGATGCTTTCCGTACACAGCTTATCAGCTTGCAGAGTATTCCGATGCAGAGAACAACTTCATTTCTCATTGACTGCCCAACATCATTTCTGTTGCTGTTATCATGATCTTTCAAACAATGAGTAGGAAAGATGCCCATCATTGCTACGACTTCCTAATGGAGTCATAACTTCCTAACTGGAACCTCGGGGCCTGAATACCTTCCTGGTTGCTTCTAACATACAGAAAACACGGTAGTTACGTAGTGTAGAAGGGCCAAGAACATGCTCCAGCACATCCAACCCCTGGGCTCTGCAAAAGGCAAACGAAGGGGAAATCCAAATCCCTCCTTGTTGTGTGCATACACACAGAAAGTTGTTCTCTCATAGGGGTTCTGGTGACCATGAGCTTGAGGCACCTCCCTGACACAGTGCATGACATAGTGAACCACTGTTGCCCCCTGGCATCAGTCAGTCCTAGGGAAGAAATGGCCCTATCTGTGAGTTTCAACATATACACACCACTGTGTTGACCGCTGTCACGTGGGACCCCATACCACGGTAAAAAAGCTATCTCTTGGTGTGTTCCACCTGAAGTTATGGTCACAGGTGCACAAGAACTCAATTGCAGCAAGACAATTTGTCTTACAGGCAGACATCATAAAAATAGCTCTGCAGAAAAACGTGCTGGTATCATAAAGGGACGGATCCTTTTCCACCTATACTTCATCAGCTCCTTTTTTTTTTCCTGCTGTTGTGCCCACCATGCCCTACACTTTCCTCTTCCAGAAAGAATTCTACAGGGCAAAAGTTCAAACTGAATGGTTGTGTCGGACAACATCTATTTAAAATAAAGTACACACAGAAAATACTTGTTATTCCTTGTAGCTGTTGATTCCCATGCTTTCCTATACTCCTCCTCACTAGCCTGATGCAGAATGCAGACAGAGCTGCTGCTTAATTTTCCTGCATACTTTGTCAGTAATTACAGTATTGTCTCTTCCAGATACG